CCGCGTCCTGAGGTCACGAGCTACCTGCGCTGGGGAAAATAGTCACTGTGCCAAGTGCCTGGTGTAGCTGTTGGAGATACAAATATGAATTGATACGGAGTGCAGTTTGCATGCATAGATGTGTATTCTATTTATGGAAGTAATGTTTGATAAGTTAATGTTGTAATGCAGGTTCTTCTGGTAAGAGAGATTACGATTATGATCTTTATTTCTCACATAATATACTTATTCACACGCATTAAATCACCAGGAGGGAGCAAATTGTGAAGAATTTTACATGAAAATGTGAAAATAGAGATGTCTGCAGAATATTACCTTTATGTTCTCGGGAAACATTTTCTTAGAAGCCACGAGCGAGATAGTGCCGTAGTTGATCTTCGAAATAGTTCTATATAAATTTTGACTTTCTCGCTATCGCAAGCGCGGTAAGGAGAAAGGTATGTATTTCTGCGCGAAAAATCGGCGAATTTTCGGCAGAAAAACTCTTATTTCGGGGTCCAGTCAACGAAAAAGAGGATACATTCTAAATTTAGAAAAAATCCTCTAACTCGGTGTAGCAAGAATTCATGTTTTGGGGGTCTTGGATATCGAATGGCGGCAAAAGTCTGACAGTCCGTCTGTCTGCTGTGACAACGCTAGCGGCTAAACCGTTCTGCCAATTTTCACCAAAATTGATCTGGCTGGTGTCGTAGACCTTTGAATTTGAAACCGATATATTAATTTGGGAGGGGGGTACTTTACATGAAGAGTCTGTGAAACTTTCATAATTTTCAAAAAATGACTTAAACATATTTTATTAAAGTTTGTTATTGGATAGTATGAAGGACATTTAAGAGAATGAAACAGGTCTCATGTTCGTTGAAAACACTCATTTTTCGAAATTTGAAAAAGTTCAAACTTTAAATCAAATGGCGTCTTCGTACAACTACAAATATGCAGATACTTTTTTCTGAATGAAATGTCATCAAAAACCGATTTAAAAATAATATCACGTTCAATTTTTCAAAACCATAAGTATTTGTTGTGAAATTAAAACAATATATTTTTCAATCCATTTTAATTTTCTTGCTAGCAATATCAACACTGCTAGTTGGCAAAATGTGTATCCATACGAATTAGCGGTCATTGTTCCTTGTAAACCATTGTTGTAATGACACACTGTTAATAGAAGGCGATAACGACTGCTGCCTTTTCTATCGCGTTTATATAAACTAATTTTAATTACGACTGAAATACGCATGCTGTATCGTTGGTACATTTATTTAGAACGTGAAGACACTGCATTTAATGGCAAAAAAGCTATTTTCGTTTCATTTGAATTTAAAAAAATATATGCATATTCCATCCTTCGTTTGTTTAAAAGTTTTTCAAATGGCAGTTGAAGTGTAAGATATAAATTGTCATATTGCAGCCTTTAACAATATCGCAAGAAAGTACGAGCTGTAGTTGCTCCACTAGTTTAAATAAACCCTTAATTTTACTGTTAAGAAAACATCTTTTTATTACTTATTTCAATTATGAAAATTAATTACTAATTCACAGTTAATTTATGGAACATCATGTAATATCAAAAGCTCTATTTATAATGCACTGAGAAATTTGAATTGTATATCTTCTTTGAAATGCTGCTTTCCTTTTCTATATCTACCTGTGTTATGAGGCTTTGTCTCGCTAAAAATACGAGTCTTTCAGACACTGTTTTTATGGATCCGTTGTACATTCGTCTGATGAGAATACAACTCATAGAAAAAATCGGACATGCTCTCATTAGGCTTGGTGGGGCATATTATCTTTTTGAAGTTATATTTTTGACCAAACAAGAGAACATCCACTGATGGTGTAACACTAAATTAAAATAAGTGTTACAAAAATGATTGTAATAATACACGCTATTGTATGTCTCTAGATCTGTAATTTATGTTTATGGTCAACGTTCAAGAAATTTAAGACAGACAATTATTCTACAATTCATTTAGTTTAATTACCGTTCTTCGTGGTAATCTGCAATTGCCATTTGGGCACTAATCAACGTAAGCTTATCTGCTTACATACATTTATCATTGTACTCTTATTAATGAATACTTGTCGACGCACTCTTAACATCGCACATGGCTGAAAGTGTGCATCGCATGGATTGATTTTTTTGGTGATATTCTTTGCTTCAAATGACTACTGGGACTACTACTCCGTAATAAAGAAGTTTATTTCAACAATAAGTTTTTTTGAGCCCGTATAACCCCCAGGTTAATCCGAAGAAAAACCAGAATAGCATAAAAATGGTCATTTGTGTAAAAACCGCCATCCCTAGTGACAAAAGGACCCTCAGAGAGGTGTTTTTAATGTACGCAACCCGGAAAACACGAGGGTTTCGCGGGTTAGCCTACACGTCAGGCGTTCATAGTAGTCACTCAATTTCAGCCCATTGAAGTATAATTTGCTAGTAATTATTTCAATATTAGTACCTGGACATTATGAGAAAACTTTACAATGTTGTAAAATTGGGCAATATTCAAACTATTTCTTTTTGTTATAATTTAAATATTATTTAGCAATACATTTATTATAGTACTTATTTCAATATAATTGTACAAGTATCCTTTTCTCCGACATTGAACTTACTTTTTACAAGTTTTCCTGGACTTGCTCAGTTTTGTCATAGTTTTTAAGAGCCCGAACGATTTCAACGATTTATTACTTCATAGATTTTTTACGAATTATTTTCGATCATTGTACTTTAGAGACCTTCAGTTACAGTGCTGATAACAATCATTGTATTATTTCTTGACAGATATGAAATGACACATGAAATTCCGCCCATCTCATTCCACCATGGACCAGTTGAACAAAAATACGGTGCGGAGTTTCATTATGGGGTTTCTTTTAAGGCAATTTTAAATGTTTTATGAATTAGACAGTTTTATATCATTATTATTATTATTATTATTATTATTATTATTATTATTATTATTATTATTATTATTATTATTATTATTATTATTATTATTATTATTATTATTAATGTTATTATTATAATATAATTTGTATGTTCGCTGTATTATCTTATTAATGTAATTAGCTGCCACCGGGTTATGCCCATTTGCAGTTCAAATACATTTATCTTTATCTTTATACTCACGACTGCATCATGCAATATCGTCCACGGTCGTTTCCATGTGACAAATACGTGTTGGAAGATGATTAGCTCTTTGAGTGCTTTAGACGAGTTGATGCGCATACTTCCGTGCGTGGAAGCCTCTGGACGAATTATTACGCTCAGACAAGTTGTCTGTGGACGAGATCGTACGCGGAGCCTCTGCACGAGTTCGCTCGTGCAGACGCGCTTTCGACTATTGGATTGAAATGAATTGATGCCTTGTTTAACGTGGCGAGACTCGGACCATCAGGCTCGCACTTCCGTCCGACCACGCAATTTTCGCTACGCCCCTTTCCATCAATTAGCAGAGAAAGGAGGTATACTATGGGCGACGAAACAGGCGATTTGAAGTTAGCTAGGAAGCGTCATTTTGGCTTGAGGATCTTTTACGTGCAAGTAAATCTACTAACATGTGCCAGCCGGCTTTACTTCCCCTCGGAAGAAAGGCGTATGAAGGATTTTCTAAAAAACCGACGGCTTCGATTGGGTTTGAACCCGCCAACATGGGTGTAACAGTCCGATATAACGTACTGTACGGATGATACACCGTTTGACCATCGCGCCACACACCGTCGCTAGGACTGAATAATAAGTGAACTGTCTTGCGCGATATTACTCGGGCAACTTTTCTTGAACGATGACCTTGCTTCTCCCTCTCTGGCACAATAGAGAAGAACAGAAGTTATCGTCTTCAACAGAAAATAGTTTCTATTTTGCGCCAACTGTAAACAGTTGAAGATATAAGCTCGCAGCGAGCACTGATGACAACATTCCAAACACTTCCTCACTGGCGCAAAATAGAAACTATTTGCTGTTGAATCCGAGAACTTCTGTCCGTATTTATCTTCAAAAAATCAAAAAAAAAATACCAAAGCAGGTAGAGTTACATCACAGGAGATACCTCGAACTCCTGAGAAAGGTAGAATGCAAATTATTGAGAAAGTTGACAGCATGACATTCTCCAGAGATTGGCATTGCTTCATGAAATCTAGTGGCTGATTACGAAACTAATATCCCGACTCAATCCATCGTTAAAGAAAAGTTGCGCGAGTAATATCTAGGTGCTCGGCTGACAAGGGGGTGCGCAGCGTCCAGCATGTCGCAAGATGCATGGCTTACAGTCGGCCGGCCCGACGCAGTTAACGGGTTAGTGGGTTTAAAGAGACGTTCAACCTCGAAACCCGCGCCTACTCCCTTTCCGTGCGGAGGCGTCGCGGCGCGCACCTACCGATGAGCATGTCGGTGGCGGCGAGCGAGGCGATGAAGTAGTTGGAGGGCTGGCGGATGCTGCGGTCCACGATGAAGGCGAGCAGCACGAGGATGTTGCCGCCGACGGTGAGCACGATGCACACGCCCAGGCACAGCGCGATGAGCGCCGTCTGCCACAGCTCGAAGGGCGGCAGCACGGGCGCCGGC